TTCTGGATTTTGTCCATGATATAAAGATAATGCATATCCCATATCATTGTGTTCAAATCAAAGTTTCTTAAAAAAAGCAAATTTTTCATTTGCATTTTAATCGATGGAATCATTCTTTAAACCAGGATATTGCACAGTTAAAAATCCTGTATTTAGTTTAAGTACTGGAATTTCAATCTCATGTTCTGATAAAGACGAGAATAAATATTTTGATCAGGTATTTATAATGTTTAACTTATAACTGCTATGCATGGAATTTTGTTTATTCTGGGGGGTAAAACTGGAACTGTTTAATAAACTTTCATAATTCAATCAGTGTTGGCGTGAAAATGATGTACTTCACTGTATTCCTATTTCTACAATCTTTATTTGCTGCATTATAACTTTAATTTTATCAATTGTAAAATAAGTCTTGTAGTTCCTCTTGGGCCTTTAATATTCATGCATAGTAGCTGAATTATGCTTTTTCATTATGTACACAGTTCAACATGTTTTTTTACATAAGAAATATTTGTTTTTATTTTTATTTCTAGTTTAAACTATATTAATTTTTGCATAATATTTACTAATAAAAAAAAAAAATAAAAATACATAGAAGTTAGAGTTTATATGAACAATTAATTCTAAAAATGTGTACTTTAAAATAAAAAATCATGTAAAGTTTAAAGGAGAACAATCATTGTGCAACAATAAATTGCGATATGTTGAAAATGGTAATAAAATAAAATGGTAATAAAAAAAAGATCATGCTTTTATAATAATTATAAAAAATAGATAATATAGCATAAGTACGAAAATATGATGTATAATGATTTTATTATTTTTAATTTAAATTGCATTATAGTTAAAATAATAAAAGCCATATTCATTTTTTTTATAATTAAGTTACTAAAATTTGCTTTTTAACAAATTGAAAATTTCTAATTGGCTATCTAATGCTAATTATTAATTGCCTATAGCTATAATAAATTAATTTTTTAATTTATTATAAATTTATGTAAAAACAAATGTATTTTTTTTTCTATTATCCAATAGGTACTTACAATAACTGTATTCATAGTTATTTTTTTGAGTAACTGTTGCATAACGATTTCATTATTTAGATTTTATTATAGATCATTATGAGACATTGTAACTGGTCAATTAATTCAAAAGCAATTCAGAGGTAAACATTGAAGTTTGTATCTGTATAGAATAAACAGATCATATGGTCAAAGAGCAGTGGTATATGTTCATTGAGGCATGTATAGACAACTCACAAAACTTGTGTGAGTTAAATCACACAGGCTAGAACAAATGTAAACAGTGGTTTTTTTTTTGGTAGATACATGTATTTAGTTTAGGGCTTCTGCAGGCCAAATAATTTCTGTCAGAGTTTAATGTAATTTTCAGTCTTGCCTATTAATTTGTATTTAAAAAAAATTCTAACATATTCTGATCACAGGTAACTTCAACTTTCTATTAATAAGCTTATCAACATATCAATTTGCCAATTATCATAGAAAAAATTGTGAATACTTTAGTCATATGAAATAATACTGAGTCCGGAACTTTACGCGCAACAAATTCAAAATTTCATCTTATATGTCTTATAATGTCTTGCATTTATTTTTGCATAATCTAATTTCAATTGTTGATTTAATGTAATGCTAATCTAATTTCAATTGGATCTAATAAAAATAAAAACAAGAAATATTTGATAAATTAATTTTTTACACAGAGGTGGCATGCAATCATTTTACTGCTATTAAAATGACATTCAAATATAAAAATAAGACTTGGGTAAATTTCAGTTATTAATTTTTTATCAGAAGCAAACAAAATATAATTTGTAAATTCTGCTTATGTAGTTATAAAGACTAAGTTATGAAATTTGAATACAAAATGATTTGCAAAAAAGTAGAAAACTAGATCAAAAAAACTGTAAAAACTTTACTTTTGGTAAAAAGAGTTTATGTACATGAACTCTTTTTACCAAAATATGAATAAAATATTTAATGATGTTTTTACAGCAAAGTAGAAACAAACAAACAAAAAATATTTCAAAACAAACTCACACAAGAGGTCAACACTTTAAAAATAAACTTATTGTGAAAACTTTTTCTTTAACAGATTTTAATCTTTACTTTAAAAATGCTTCAATCAGCTAATTTACAGAATAGCTTGCCAAGCAATTTAGTTAATGCAGAATCAGTTTTAAAGCAGGTCTTGATATTTCAATGAGCAGTAATCAGACAAATTGGCTGTCTTAGTGTGCTAATACCACATTTGCTCACTTACATCAGTTACAGCAATTATACTTGTTGTTATGTTTCTCATAATTAAAATATTATGTTATAGTTATAATTGATAGTTAAATGCCACAAGAGTCTTTTCTTCTGGAACATAATTAAAACAAACTGTGTGATTAAAAAAGTTTGTTTTGCATGTCAATATTGATGGAATCATTAATTCATTTGATAGAGATGCTCTGAATTTGGTCTTGTTTTTTGTAACTGTGGAGAAAATCTTCTTATCTGCTCCATTGTTATGTTATCACCATGATAAACTTCTCAACTTGAAACAACAAATTGCATTTTTGAGACTATTTAACTTATGCCATACATGATCAATCAAGTGTTGTCTGGGAGCAGTTGATATGCCACAAACTAATCATAAATACAGTCTACATTATCTTCAAATAATATTTTCAAATTAGGAAATCTGTTTTAAAAATATAACACTGATTCAAATTCAACAGACTTTCTATTCTCAATTTGGATAACAGCTGCATATTCAACAACAGGGTCATTCAATGGAAAACGACCTTTTTCATATAGGTAGGCTGCCTATATAAACCGAATTGCTTCAGATTCAATTCTTGCCTCCTCACTTGGTAGAAAGCCTTTATTTCTTACTGCTGTACGTGTTGTGAATCCTATTATAACTTTTTCTTTGTCAAAAAAAAAAATGCTGGATCAGTGACATCTTCAGGCAATAATAAAACATGCTCCACTTTAATAAACCTCTCCAAAGACTGTTCAGGAATTCCATGATTTTACTTTTCACCACATTAATTTTAGGTGTTTCTTTAGGTGTTGTTGTCAAAGTAATAAAAAATGTCCACTAAAAAGTTGCCAACATTAAATCCTGTTGCTTTAAAAAAATTCATCTGATCCTGCTTTTGCAGTTTGTGAATAATAAAGAGATCTAAAACCTTTTGAAAAATTACTGCAGCTGTACAATCACTGACAAGAGCCATATTCCAAAAATGAGAACTGATTTCACCTCTGTTAATGTCATAAATCTTCACAACAAGTGGGTACATGCTTTCATTACCTGTATCACTACTTCCATCAACAGAAAAGCTAAATGAATCAGCTTTCAGAAGGTCCTCAATACAAGAATGTAATGATGGAGCAATGGCATTATAATGATACATGCTGTTTTTGTTGCTGCACATTTATACTTTGCTGCTATTTTACTGCACGCAATGAGCACTCAAATGGTAAAGGTATGTCTATGTGGGTCTACTTGGGAGCTATGATATATCAGGGTGGTTCAAAAAATAACATTTTTATGAAAAATACCTGATGCTAGCACCTTAATCTGTTCTATATGATAAAACAATGCTGAGTTTAAAAGCTTTTGAAATAAAAAAAATTTTTTAAAGGTGCCTCGAAGCTTTTAAACATTGAATGGGTCCTCGGAATTAATAAATAAAAAAGTTTATTAAATGCTGTCGGGTCTCAAATAAAAATATTTTAAAAAATTAAAAAATGATAATCATTTTTTTATAAAATTATTATTTTTTATTTTACTGCTTAGCTATTGAAATATATATATATATATATATATATATATATATATATATATATATATATATATATATATATATATATATATATATAATATATATATATATATATATATATATATATATATATATGTATATATATATATATATATATATATATATATATATATATATATATATATATATATATATATATATATATATATATATATATATATATATATATATATATATATATATATATATTATGACCCACCCTAATATATCTAATATATATATATTAGGGTGGGTCATAAAAATTTTTTTAAAGTTGCTTACCTGGTTATGGTCTAGAAAGTTGTTTTTTTATGTACTAATTTAGGAAAGTATTTACTTTTATGGATTGAACAATGTCTTCCTCCTGCAACTTTAATTACAAAAATTAGCAGGCCCTATTATTATTCAAAAAAAAAGTTTTTTAAAATTATGTAATGTAGGTACTCAAATAAAGCGAATTTTTATAGAAATTTCAAAAATAATAATTTTTTGATATAAAAATTATTATTTTAGATTTTATAGCATAATAACTATGGTTTTTTAACTTAAAGTGAAAAAAGTGCATTTTTTCTATGTTTTTTAATGACAATTTTTTTGGGCAATATGATTTTTAAAAAACGATTATTATTATTGAATTTTTTATAAAATTTCGCTTCTTTTGACTACCATGTTGACCTACTTTAGAAAAACTTTTTTTCTCCAAAATATTAGGGTACCGGTAATTTTCCTAATTAAGTTGCGCCCTTTAAATCTATCATAATCATTCTCATATTTGATAGTATCACTATTAATAACTGATCGCAATGTTTAGAGTCTGTAACAAGAAAAAAAATTTTTATGACCCACCCTAATATATATATATATATATATATATATATATATATATATATATACATATACAGTCTATATATATAAAGTGGGGGGGGGGCGCTGAAAACATATATTAAAAAGGAAAAAGTTCCTCAATTTTGTGTGATACAGTAATATAGATGAAAATGATCTATTTATTCAATTATTTATCACACGCAATGTGATTAATCATCTTTTTAACGTGGTTAGTTATCGTTTGCCATTCATTTACAAAATAGTTAAACAGTTTTATAGATATACTTTTCCATGGTGATGTTTAATTGTGATTGAGTCATTGCAGACTTGCTATCATAAAAGTTTTTTTAAAACTGTTTAGGAAATGGAGGGGGGGGGGACTAAATGCAGTGTCTGCCCCCCACTAAGTGTTTTAGTTTAGGGGCTATCGCTCCCCCAACTAAAACATTGGAGGACAGACACTGCATTTAGTGTGTGTGTGTGTGTATATATATATATATATATATATATATATATATATATATATATATATATATATATATATATATATATATATATATATATATTGTAATTATTCATATGTAATTACCATAATTATTTAATTATTGATTATTTTGTTATTTATGTTTGATAATTATATTAAAATGTTATACTATTATTAATAAAATGTTTGTAAAAAAGATATTAAGATGATCTCTTCAATTATCAATTTAGACATATTTACAAGTCCTCTGTTAATCCTTGAATTAATAAAACAAAATAATTTCATCTGAATCACAAAAGTTTAAAATTATTTATTTGGGTGCATCTACCAACCCCCACTCATGCACACATTTTTTTTAAATGAAGAATTATTAAAAAGTATTTTTATTAAATAATAATTTATTAATAAGACTGATACAATGTTTTCAAGTTAATGAAATAACTTTTAAATAATTGATATCAGTTGAGAGATTTTTTTTTAAAGTTAAATGAATAAATGTTTTCAAAATAATATTTGTTTCTCTTTAATTTTTTTTTAAAGATATTTTATGTTTTTTAGAAAATTTATTTGTTTATTTGAATTAGGGTGATAGTGGGGTCAAGAAATATTGTTATAAGTTTTGAAATATTTTATTTAAAAACTAATAACAATATTTTATTTTAGATTGAAATTATTGAAATTTCTCAAATTCTATGAGTTTTTATTATTTTCAGTTTTTTATACAATCTTTTTTGTTTGTTTTAGGGACTTTCTGCGATATCTAAGGAAAGTACAAATACTGACAATCAAAATGCATTTCAAAACTCTAAAATACACAGAAATACAAATTATAAAATGAATTACTCTTCCAATAGCATTACTTTGCCTCCAATAAAAAGTCAAGAAAATGGTTCAAATATGCACGAAGTTTCAAATGTAAAAAGAACCTCAAAGTTATCAGAGCAAAATAATTTAAACACGACAACTCAAGCTTCTACTATTAATGGTTCTATACAATCTAATAGTTTACATCAAAATGTTAAACACGGTGAAAATTCTCAAAAGATAGGATCCTCTTCTTTAGTTCATAAACAAAAAGAAAAGCTTTTAAATTTTTCAAGCACTTCTTTATTTAAAAGTTCAACTGTAAATACAAATGTTAATCTAAAGTTTACTAATGAGCACTCTAAAGGTCCAAAGAGTGATAGCAATAACAACAGTAGAGTGTTGCAAATAAAACCGCAAGCAATCCAAAGCACCAGTGAAAACAAAATTACTAATGAAAATTTTGAAACTGAAGAAGACTTTTGGTACGTTTTCTCAAATTTAATGAACAATTGAAATTTAAAAAAATAAATTTGTAAATTTAAAATACTCTTTTTATAAAATTTTTTTAGTAAAGAAGTTTGCGAATCGCGACTTACTAATGAGTATGATAGTATTATAAAGTTTTTAATGAAAATATTTGGTTCTCTGACAGAACTCTATAAAGTTTTTAAGGTTAGTCACACCTACCACAATATTGAAATATTGTAAATTCTTTTCTTTTATGTTAAATTTGATTTTGTTCCTTTTTTTTATATTACCATTGTTTATTTCAGAATAAAAAAAATAATGATGAGAAATCAAATGATGTAAATCAATTGCTAGATATCAATCTGAATTATTTAGACTACATGTATGAATCTATTGTCAGAATGGTATGTTTTCATGTTAAAATGTTTATTTAAAAAAATCATATTATAAGCATAATATGTAACAAATGATTTTATCATTTGCTTAAGTTTAATTTGTTATCATAGGTCATAAAAATAGAAATTGTTTATGAATATTTAATTAGATATTATACATTAAATTTCGGTGTTATGAAATTGTTTTTTAAATTATGAAATCTCTAAGTTTGTTTCCATTTGTTGACTACTCAGTTTTATTTGTTGAGTACTAAGTTCTATTTGCTGACTTCTTAGAAAATAAATTTGTTTTGGGTGTGAAGTCAAATAGAAATTTAATTTTCATAATTTGAAAACATGATCTTTTGCTGCAGATTTTTTATCATTTTTGAAAAGAACGCTTGACATTTGTAGTTAGTTGTTAGTTAGTATATGTTTAGCCATTAAAAGATGTTTACTATATCTTCCTTGAATCCTATTTGATAATCCTGTATCTCATAGTTGCCATTTTAATTTTTAATTATCTTGACAAAGTGAGAAGTCTATGAACTGATTTAAATTCTTTTTTAAGTACATTTTCAACTTGTTTGTTTTAAAGTAGAGTTTCAAAAACTACTTTTTGTTTTAAAGTTTCTAAAATGATCTTTAAATTTGAAGTTTGTTTGATTAAATTTGTTAAGTTAATTTATTTGTTTTATTTTTTTAAGTGTATTTATTTCTTTTTTTAACCTTTTGTTATTTTTATGATTTTATTTTTTTTTTAATTTATATTTTTACTCAAAATTTAAAAGTTTAAATTTCTAAAATAAACTCTTCAAAACTTTTTATCATAGCCTGAAAGTGTTAAAAAAGCTGTGCTGCGATCTATTATCAACTGCATGATGACAGAAAATAGTAGGTCAGTTGTCATTAGATACATTTCATTTAAAGATTTTATACCAATAAATATTTGTAATTCATAAATAATTGATATAATCTAATAATTAACTAAATAAATAAACAATTTGTTAAATTATATAAAAAATAAATTAAATTGATTACTACTTTTGTGCACATTGATTTATCACTTAATTAAATTTATATATGTATTTCTTGCTTGTACCATAAAAATACTTTTGAATGTTTTTATTAAGTCACTACAAATAATTTATTAGTACAAAGTTATTAGTTATTAAGCAAAATATTGAATTAGTTTACAAAATGATTTTTTAGAGAGAAAAGTACTGACCAGATAAAAGCTTTGATAATCTTATTATTAGTAAGTGCATTTTTCTGAAACTTTTTTTTTTTTTTTTAATAAATTTGTTTTTCAAAGAACAAGAGCCGCTAGTGTGGAGGAGTCTCCACCTAACTATTAGATATTTTAAGTGTGGAGCTAAGTCCACCTAACTATTAGATATTTTAAAGGAAATCACATAACTAACAACAAAAGTCAATAAGTTGTGTGACAATTTAAATAAAAGTCATTTTTTTAAATTATAATCTTCTTTTATATTATTGTTTTTTTTTAAATATTTTCATAACAACATATTTAAAAAGAATTTTAAGCGTGAAAGAACATCACTTTGATAAAATGTGGGCAGGGGAATATCCAGTAAAAAATTTCATGAGGTGTTTTTATATTGGGAATTTAGGTAGACTTAGGGGTAATTGTGTAATTTCAATTAATTTACACTTACCACTTTACAAGGTCATAACTTTTGAAAGGTAAAATATTTTTTCACTAAATAAAAGTTTTACAGAGACAAATTTTAGTTGCATTCATAATGGAAGAGGTTTTTTAAAATGCTAACACTGCTGCCTTTCCCATACAAATTTTTGGACCTTGTAAAGTTTTGTATTTATGGGCCAATTATGGTTAACTACATTTTCATTAGAGATTTAAATTATAAACAACATACCTCTAGTTAATATACTTCCTGGTGCTATACCACAAGAAAATTTATTAATGTACAGTATTTTTTATTTACTGCATTAATTAAAAAAATTTTTTATTTTTCATTTTATTTTAATTTTTTTTTACTTAAAAAAACATTTAACTAGTTGTTTAATATTGCTCAGGTTCAAAATGCCAAACAATAAAAAAAATCTCACACAGATAATAAATACCTCGTCTGCTTAATTTGTTGTGTCATTTGGACTAAATGTAGAAAAAAAGCATTAGAAAAAAGTGTAAAAAAAGCTTTATAAAAACTTGAAAAAAAGAAAATATTATTAAATATTTGAGTCAACTGTTTGGTTACTCAAAAGTTAAAGTATTCTTACCAGAAGCCTCTCTGTGTTGTGTCATTACTGAAATTGCTCGAATACAGCTACTCTAATATCAGGATATGAAGATTCAAGAAAAATCAAGTCAGGAACTGATACATTTTCTCTTCTTAACCGTATTACTGCTTAGGATTTGATAATAGTAAAGAGGCAATTGCTTGGACTATTAAATAATGTACTGAGTACTATCTATGTTTTGATTCAAGTTCTTTAAAAAATTTAAAATGATTTCAGCGGTCTTATCTTGTGATCTTAGTGTTAATGGTTATCTTCCTTTAATTCGACTCCAATAGTCACATGTTTGGCCCGGGCATTTACATTCGTAAGAATTCACCCATTTGTCAGGAAACTAGGTTTAAATCCACAGATTCTTATTTTATGTGCTGTCATTTAGCACCACTTCACTCCATTGCCTTTCTGTTTGTTCCATTTTGCTCTCCTTCATCTCAAGACTGCACTCTTTTCTATGTTATTTCTGATCAAATTGACAAAGCTCAGTTTCTTTATCCATCAGCCAATATCCTTGTTGTCAGTGACTTTAATGCTCATCACACTGAATGGCTAGGCTCAAGTGTCAGTGACTTTGCTGGCGTTAAGGCCCTCAATTTTTGCCTTTCTCAATCTCTAACTCAAATAGTCAACTTTCCAACTCGCTTTCCAGACAACCTGAATCATTTACCTTCTCTACTGGACCAATGTTTTTTTTTTTATTCTAGTCGTTGCTCAGTTTCTCTACATTCACCTTTAGGTGCTTCTGATCATGGTTTGATCTCTCTACAACTATTATCATATTCTTCTTCATCATCAGAATCACCCTATCATTGTACCTCTTACAACTCCTTAAAGCTGACTGGGATTCTTTTCATGATTTTCTTCATGATGGCCCTTGGGTAAAAATCTTTTGTTTTCCTGCTGACAAATGTGCTTCTTACATAACTTCTTGGATTCAGCAGGCATAAAATCTTTTATTCCCTCTCAACAATTCTAGGTCAAGCCACACTCTTCTCCATGGTTTTCTTCACATTGTGCTACTGCAATATCCAATCGAAAACGTTATATCCATATCTATCAGCAAACAATTCTCCAATAAAATAGACATCTGTTTACTATTGTTAGAAACCATTGAAGAAAGATTTTTTCTAACGCCAGAGCTCGCTATTCTCAGATCATAAAATCCTGTATTTCATTACAAAAATTAGGCTCTCGTGACTTCTGGAGAATCTTTACTAGTATCAATAATAAGGGCAAATCTGTTATTCCAGCTCTCATGCATGATTCAGACTTTATCACCTCACCTAAAGATAAAGCTGAATTGTTTGCAAAAAACTTTTCATCAAAATCATCTCTTGATTCCACTAGTTGCGTTCTACCTGATATAGCCGTCAAACAGGTTGATCCATTGCTTGACGTTTGTATCAGTATCTGATATTCTGTATCAAAAGTTATTCTTAGACCACCATCTGTAAAAGACTCTTTTACAGATGGTGGTCCAGACAACATACCTGTTATAGTCTTGCAGAAGTATTCTCCGTACCTGTCATCTATACTTTCAAAACTATTTAACAAGTGCATATCAGAGTCTTGTTTTCTGGCATGCTTGAAAGTTATCTCTATTTTCAAAAATTTTGAACAGCAATCTGACTCCTTTAACTACCGTCCCATTAGTCTTCTTCCTATCACAAGCAAGGTAATAGAATCTTTAATTAACAAACACTTTTTCTCTTATCTTTAATCTAATAACTTACTTTCTGATCATCAATATGGATTTTGATCTTCTCGTTCTACAGCTGATTTGCTAACAGTAATAACCGATAGGTTTTATCATGCGTTAGATAGAAGTGGAGAGGTTAAAGCTATCACTCTTGACATTTCTAAAGCTTTTGATAAAATTTGGCATGTTGGTCTTCTCCATAAGCTTACTTTTTACGGTATATCTGGTAACATCTTTAAAATTATTGAATCCTTTCTTTCCAATTGTAGTATAAAAGTTGCTCTTAATGGACAGCACTCTTCCTCATATTCTGTAACTTTAGGGGTTGTTCAAGGTTCAATCCTTGGCCCTATACTCTTTTAAATTTACATTAACGATCTTCCAGATATTTTCACATCTAAGGTGGCATTGTTCGCTGATGATGCTAACTTTTTTTTTTGTCATGATAAGAAGCCAACTCCCTCTGATTGCTTGGCAGGGGCATCTGAGCTTGAAAAGGATCTCACTTCTGGTACAGCATGGGGCTCACAGTGGCTGGTGAACTTTAATTTAGAAAAAACTCAATTTTTTTCAGCCAATGGTAATTGCAATAATTTAGATCTTCCTATATTTATGAATGGTGATGTACTCTATGAGTCATCTACCTATCATCTCCTAGGATTGACTCTTACTCCTGATCTTTCTTGGAAACCATATATCAAATCCGTTGCAAAATTAGCATCTGCTAAAATCTCTTTATCGAGCTTGACACTTTCTTACTCTGGATTCTATTCTCTATCTCTATAAATCTCAAATCCGTCCTTGTTTGGAATACTGTTGCTAATCTGGGGCAGATCTTCTAAAGATGCCCTTTCTCTTTTATTAAAGGTGCAAAAACGCATGATAAACATAGTTAGACCTGCTCTTGCAACAAACCTCTAACCATTATCACATTGTTGTAATGTTGCTTCTCTCTTTTCTACAAATACTATAATTGGCACTGCTCTAAAGAACTAGTGTCTCTTGTGCCACGTGCTAAAATTCATTCTTGTTTTACTCGTCATTCAATTAAATCTCATCCTTTTTCTGTGACTGTTCCCAAGTGCTCCAAGATAATCAAGGTGCTGAACTTCAATGCTCCAAAGTATTGAAAAGAAAATTCGTGGTTGAGGGAACTAAAATCATGGTTGCAGGTAAAGCACTTGCAAAAGTGCTTTTTCCAGTAAAAAAAATCCCTAAATTGTATATAAGTTGATTTAAAAACTTAGTAATAGACGGGGAGCCAAAGTTCTTAGTATGATTAAAGGGAAGGGATTAGATGCTTAAATGGTAGAGATTTATTTGAAAGTAATGTAAGAGACAAATAAAGTAAAGAAGATTGAAGGTTTTTAAAAATCTGTTAATGATGTAACAAATTATTTAGAAAATATATTCTATACAATTAGTTTACATTCATTGTCTTATTGAGATTGCAATAAAGGAGAGAAAATTGTCAAAGGACTACATTTTAAAGGTGGGGATTGACGTTGGAGGCAGATTTTTAAATGTTTGTTTAAATGTTATAGAAAGAATAGGCATTAAAAGTATATAAATGGCGCATACAAACTGTTTTATAGTAGAAAATTTAACTAAATCATATTGGAATCTTGAGAAAATTCTTACTATTGTGAAGCTAAATGACTTGCAATACTTTTGTGCTTTTGATATGAAATATATTTTTTGGAATTGAAAGTGCAGCATCAACACATCATAGTCCTTGGTGTAACATTAGCAAAGAAAAAATGTAAGATTTTCAAGCTCACTGTGAGCTCAGAGCTCTGGGAAGTATTCATCAGCTAATGCTTTCACAGCCGCCCAATAAAATTAAAAAAAATATTTCATATTAATTGTGTTAACTTGTGTTAATCTGCCTGATGTTTTAAAGGTATTAAAGTTTTTTTTCCAATTGAACTTCAATCTGCTTATAAAGTGACAATCTACGGATAACACTTTATAAGCAAAACATTAGAATCAATGTTTAGGTTTTCAACGGCAAAAGCTGCATAGTGGTCAATTTAAAAACTTATTAACTGCTGAAAAATATTTTAAAATGTTTTGAAAACTGAAAAAAGACAAACATTTATATCACTAATTCCTTTAAGTATTTAAAATCTGTTAAAGTTACATGTCTTGGTTCTAGCTTGTTACCTGAGTATAAATCAACCATTAACAAGTATAGAAATGCTAATGTTAAACTTGGTCTATAAGTGTTACCAAAAGTGCACGATCTTATCAAGGATACATGTGAATTTCTCTCCCTTATGTCAAATTCCAATCCAAATAAAGGATTGGTTTTTGGTCTGAATAGGCCTTTGAACCTGTTTATTATGATTTTAAATGAGAGTTTATTTTGAGAGAATGGATACAAAGTTTTAAGTAGCCTTAAAGATTATCTGTCATGTTTGCTTAAAGTTGGTGATTATGAGCAGCCATAATCACTAACTTTAACTTTCTGCTTAAAGTTGGTAATATGGCGCAATGATTGCGCACTTACCTCAGAAACGTAAGATCCGTGGTTCAAACTCCACCTCTGGGTAAGTTTTGCAACATCGGATGGGAAGGAGGCATACACTTCCTATTAAATGCTCTTTCTATTAAATGACCGTCATTTATATATAATATTGGAAAATGTTAATAAGTGTTGCGAATGTAAATTTTACCAGTAACTTTACCAGTAAATTTTGACATTTTAAAAATAGATGCACACCATGATATTTTATTTAACTAATTTAAATAATTAAAAAATTTGTTTAATTTCAAAAATATAATTTATCATAATTTCAACAATAACTGACGAATCTTTAAGTTCTAAAAAATGTCAAGCTTGTGACATTTTTTTTGGAGATTACAGCTTAACGACAATTAGGATATATTGCGAAGAGCATTTTTTAATAGGTCTTGGAGCATCTAAAAAAAAAAAAGATGGTTATGTACAACTTTTAATTTTTTTTTTTAAAACGGTTTTACTTTAAAATTAAATATGTTATATTTGTAGAAAATATTATTTACTGTAAATGTACATAAGCATATATGTAAACAAATACTTGTGTTGTTTAAACCATTTCCTGACTAAAAAACAATTGAATTATTCTAAAAGACCAGTTTTAATAATTTTTGTTTTTCAGCACAGGTCCAGATATATATGATTATACTAATACGAATAATATATTAGATATATAAAAAGAAATGATAATCAAGAAATGATAAACAAGAAGAAATGGCACAAGAGTTGCTAGCTCTTTATAGAAGCGCCCATTATAGTATTTATAGAAAAGAGAAAGATGCAACATTACAATGATGTGACAATGGTTAAATGTTAGACAAGGTGCAAAAATGGCATTTTCGCACCTTGTTTAAAAGAGAAAGGAAATCATTTGGAGATCCACTTTAGATATGGCAACAGTACGTCATGCGATGATGGATTTGAGATTTATAGAGATGAAGAATAGAATCCAGTATAAAAAATGGCAAGCACAATGAAGAGATGCAACCTTGCAGGTGCTAGTTTTGCAATGGATTTGATATATGTTTACCAAGAACATACAGAAATAAGAGTTAATCTAAGAAGACAAAGGGTATATGACATTACCGATTCGATTACATTACCGTTTGTTAATATAGTTTTATCTGAGTTAAGGTTCAATAGTCACTTAGAGCCCATGTTGTAGCTGAAGGGATATCCTTTTCAAGCTTAAATGCCCCCATCAAGTAAACAGAGTGTTGGATTCTTATCAAGACAAGAATAAATGGTAGTATCATCAGTAAACAATGCCATCTTAGATGTGAGAATTTTGGGGAGATCATTGATGTAAATTAACGTTGATGTAAATCTCCATATTTATAGATTGGTAAAGAAAGATTCAATAGTCTTAAAGATGTTACCTGATACATCGTAAGATGAAAGCTTGAAGAAGACCAGCATGCCAAACTTTATCAAAGGCTTTAGAAATTTTGAGAGTGATAACCTTAATCTCTCCACATCTTTCTAATGCATTATTTATTACCATTAAAAATTTTAGCAGTAGAACGACAAGATCAAAATCCATATTGATGATCAGAATGTTATTAGATTCAAAATGAGAGATTAAGTGTTTGTTAATTCCAGAATTCTTCAGAATTTTTAAAAATAGTGATATCAGATGCTGCTTTCCAGCAGGCTGGAAAATAAGACTCTGATAAGCACTTGTTAAATTATTTTAAAAGTATAGGCGACATCTCAGGATTACACCTCTATGAGACTTTAATAGGTATATTGTCCAGACCACAAGCTGTAAAAGAGTCGAAGCAAGAAATCACTTTATATAAAGAAGCTGGAGTGATACGAAGGTTAGGCAATGGATTAGCCTGTCTGTTAGCTATATTAGATAGGGCACGTCTAGTAGAATCAAGAAATGAGATTGGTGAAAAGTTATTACCAAACAGTTCAGCTTTGTCATAAGGTTACAAAATCTGAATTAAAAAGAAGAGGAGGAATAACAGATTTTATTGTAGACACTATTGAAAATTCTCTAGAAGTCTCTGGAGCCTTATTTTTAGGATGAAACACGAGATTTTGTGACCTGAAAAAAGCGAGCTTTTGCATTAAACAAAACCTTTAAATAATGGTTTCTCATGGTTACGATTGTTGACAGAGTTATGATATTTAAAGTTTGCACAATCTCTGGATGTTATCTATCTTGCACACCTAAAACCCATGACCTGGTCATTTAACCCTCTCTTTTATGAAAGACATTGATAGAATATTTTCAAAATTTAGATTGTAATTGTAGGTGGTATCATGGTTTTGGTCAAAATTTTATTTCAAATAAATTATTTCGGCTATGGTGAGAATCTTCAGTTAGAATAAAATATATTTTTATATTTTAAAATGTAAAATTATATAAAAGATTATTTGCAACTTAAGTTTCATTCTAAGCAATCTTCTTTTTTATTCTCTTTTGTGTGAAATGGTAGAAATTAGGAATGAAAGATTTTTTGCAATTAGACTTTGAATAAATAAGTTAGATAATTTTATTTATTTAATTGCATACATTGTTTTAAAATGTAGTTTTTCTAAAAGGTTAAGAATATGTTTAATAGTATTAAGTTTTTGTGACAAAATTTTTTTTAATGATTTCAATGTTTACTTATTCTACGTACTTTTTTAAATTGGGAAACTTTTTAAATAGTGAAACTTTTTAAATTGAAGATGTAAAGAAATACCTAAAAATTTTTTTTAACTGTTTTACATTGATATTTTGTTACTTTGTTTATTAAATTTTTTGATATTTTTCTCATTAATATAAATTGAATAAATTTGTATTGTAAATTTTGAATAAATTTATTGTGTAAATATGATAATATTGCATTAAATATGATATTTAAGGCACAGTACATTTGTATTGTGCTTTCTTTAGTTGTCGTTTGTATATTGCTGGTGATAATTTTAAAAATCTTATTTAAACCAATAGCTTGATAGCTTTTATATAAGCTACTTACTTGGCTTGCCAATTTTGGTCAAATAGAATTTAAAAGAGTGTTGCAATATGCTATTTTAGAACAATTTCAAATCTTTAAAATATTTAATAATATTAAATAACATTTAAGGGGTAGTGTGAGATTTGTTCACCACACAAGAATGAAAAATTTTGATATCTAGTAACTTTTGTTTTTGTAAATTTAAAAAAAAATTTAATTTTTTCGTTTTTGTAAATTTTGTATTTGTTTTAAATTAAACTTTGGTTTTTTTAAAAAAAAAATTGCTTTATACAAATATAATAATCCTTATTTTTGTTTTACACAAATTAGACAGGAGCGATATGTTTAATTGTAAGTTTCATTTTTGGTTTTTTTAAGTGTTATTTTCAGTGTAATTTACCAGCAAGTTTAAGTTTTTAATAATTTATTAAAATATTTAATAAATTATTATGTATGTTCAAAATGACATTTACCTTCACTAATATCATTTTTAAAATATTTATTATGCAAAGAATTTTGTAACTTTACCAACTTATGACAAAAAGCAGTTAAAATATAAATCTCTTTATTTATTCTATTATTAAATAATAAAAAATAAAAAGAAAGAATAAAACAATATAATAAAAACAATAAAGGACAACTGATGCAAATTAAGAGTGTTTTTTTTACTTTAGAACGAATAGTTTTGCTAGCTAATGGTTACACTTTTTTTCACATAAGGAAAACAATTGCTTTCTATCAACTTTAATTTATTCATTGTGCGTACTAAATATGCCTTCTACAATTTTTACTGAACTAGAATGAGTAAAATAAATCTAAACTTAAGTATACTACTATATTTGAGAGAAATTTTAAATTCATATTTTACATTAATAAGTTAATGAGATTGAAATCAGCAATCATGTTAACTTAGAGATTAGTGAAAGAGGTAGCAAGATCAATAAGTTAACGAGATTCAAAAAATTTGGTTAAAAAAAATGTATTTATTTTTAATGGTTTTTATATTTCTGTTTTTGTTAATCCTTTAATTAAGCAGCGTATAATATAATGATTTTTTTCCTTTTTTTACACTTGTCACTAATACGCCTAAAACAAGGCAACGCTCCACAAATAAAAAGGTGAGGGTGAGGTTTAGGGTAATGAAGATCAAATGTAGGGTCAGATTTAGGGCTATGGCTGGTTCATATAGGGTTAATGCAAGGGTCAGATTGTTATAATATGAATATTAACCCTAAACCCTAACCCTGACCTTCAAATAAATATTTTTTTATCTGTGAAAGTGTGTGTCATACCAGACATATTTATTAGAGATGTTTCAGCCCAAGTGTGTATCATAACTGACATACTTATTAGAGATGTTTCCCAAATTCAGACGTAATATTGACAAGTCCAAAAAAAAGCAATTATATTTTACGCTGCTGATGGATTACCATGTTTTTAACTGTTTAATTTTAAAATATTTGTTTAGAATCCATTGTTTGCAGATAGCAAAACATATGTAATATTTTCTCATGTAATTCGTCAAATTTGTATGTCTCAAGTAAATGATCACCACCAGTTCATTAACTTTTTCAAACAGTAATCACTTTATTTCATTTTATAAATTTTTGTTGTTGTTTTTTTTTGTTTTTCTTATTGCTGTTGTTGTTGTTATTGATGATGATGGCGATGATGATGATGATGATGATGATGATGATGATGATGATGATAATGATGATGATGATGATGATGATGATGATGATGATGATGATAATGATGATGATGATGATGATGGTGATAATAATGATGATAATAATGATGAATATGATGATAATGATGATGATGATGATGATGATGATGATGATGATGATGATGATGATGATGATGATGATGATGATAATGATGAGTTGATGATTAAAAAACTATTACAGTTTTATATTAACGGTGAACTACTATATCAAATAAACTATTTTATTTTTATTTCGGACTAAGTAATATTTTGAATCTGTTTATAGTATTATTATTGCCTAGATATATATTGTAATCTTTTCACACTTATTATACATTTTAGTTTTTACATATTTTTGTTTATATTTATTTTACTAAACAATTACTATCATAATTACTAATATAATTTTTAATAGAAGTAGAAGGTCTTTCTTCAAAACGTGATATTGATTTTTATCAAGTATGTCACTATTATTATTTTTGAGATATTGATGATTTGAGTTCACCTGGCAACCTTTCAACAACAAAAAATATTACCATCGGAAATTTAGAGACTTTTAAACATAGAAGCAAGCAAAAATCTTATTATTTTGAATTTTTTTTGTGTTTATTAAGGTGTTCCAAGAAGTCCTTACAGTTTTATCACAAAGCATGATGAGCATTTAACAAGGAAGTTCACTTCCTTACCAAATATCTTGCCAGAGCTGATGCCAGTTCTTACCAATGTAATATCTTGCCAGAGCTAATGTCAGTTCTTACCAATGTAATATCTTGCCAGAGCTGATGTCAGTTCTTACCAATGTAATATCTTGCCAGAGCTGATGCCAGTTCTTACCAATGTAATATCTTGCCAGAGCTGATGCCAGTTTTTAGCCATAACTCTAACCACTGTGCGATAGCTGCTAAATTTCTATCACTTAGTTTTCTAAAATAAATTTTCAAAGCAATGAGTCATTGAATTTTATTTGCCTTCAACATCTTAAAAAATAAATTTTTAACAAAAAAGTTTTTTTTTTTTTTTAATCTCTACCATTGTGTTTTTTTTTTTTTTTTTAAATTTTGTCTCTACTCTTTATATAAAATATTTTAAAATTCTCATGAAGTTCATATGTAGTCTATGGATTATATTTATTAAGTGTTTTAAAATTTAAAGTTTTAGTTTAAACTTAGAAAAGTGACTTAAGGCTCAAGTGGTAAAGTTAAGAAAGATGAGGGTAATAATGAAGAAGTAATATAAATGAATTGATTAAAAAGTCAACTTTTAAAAAGAAAGAAAATGAAATAATAGTTTGATTTTTTCCCATTTTTCTTTTTAAATCTTCAAACTTTAAATTACATAGTTATAAAACTAAAACATAATTTAAAAATATTTAAAAAATATAATATTTAAATGTTTTCCAAAAATCGAAAAGAATAAAACTGTTAAGTTTCTGAAATGTTAAAATTTTTTTTTGACAATTTCTTTTGATTTGATGATCATCTTTTTTAATACCTAATCTTAGACGTAAAAAGCTATGTATTTTCTTTTTTAAACGCATTTTTTGTTATTACAGTTATTTGTATGACATGCAATGAGTTTGTCTCCACTAGAGTTAAACAGGGTTGTTAATGTAGTTATTTGTATGACATACAATGAGTTGACCTCTACTACAGTTAACAAGTCTACTCATTTCTTTAAGGTTACTTTGCGGAGATACAAGTTGAATATAGTACTACCAGGGGCGTGGTAGGGATTGAACTGGTAACTTCCTGCTTACAAAGTGAGTGGTCTACTGCTACACCAAAACCACATAAATTTTAATGTATATTTTAATTGAAATTTTAAGTAGTTTAATAAAAAAAGTTATAAATATAATTATTTCAGGCTTCCTGTTAAAGAATTAAAAATAGCGATTCACCAAGTGACTTCATTCATAAGTTACAGATTATTTCCTACTAACAATGAAATAATTGAGTCAGAAATGAGCTCATGGTGGATACCAAATGCTGTAAAGGTTTTAGCATTAATGAGTATGCATGATTAAACTTATTATCATTATAATTAAATATATTTTTATAACTTTATTATTGTTAATGTTGTTATTAGTTATATATTATTATTATTATTATTATTGCTATTAATGTTATTATTGTTGTTATTATTATTACTGCTACTACTATTATAAATGTTCTTAATACATTATTACTTTTTTTGATTAGATGCTGCTAATGAAAATAATTCCAACATTAAATTACCTCGCAGTGTATTTTACATTCGAGGATTGGAACTACTTGATTTACTAAAAGAATATCAATCTTGGCAAATGGGAACAAAGTTGGTATTTTATTTGATTTTAATTAAAGTTGGTATTTTATTTGATTTTAATTAAAGTTGGTATTTTATTTGATTTTAATTAAAGTTGGTGTTTTATTTGATTTTAATTAAAGTTGGTATTTTATTTGATTTTAATTAAAGTTGGTATTTTATTTGATTTTAATTAAAGTTGGTATTTTATTTGATTTTAACTAAAGTTGGTATTTTATTTGATTTTAATTAAAGTTGGTATTTTATTTGATTTTAATTAAAGTTGGTATTTTATTTGATTTTAACTAAAGTTGGTATTTTATTTGATTTTAATTAAAGTTGGTATTTTATTTGATTTTAATTAAAGTTGGTATTTTATTTGATTTTAACTAAAGTTGGTATTTTATTTGATTTTAATTAAAGTTGGTATTTTATTTGATTTTAATTAAAGTTGGTATTTTATTTGATTTTAATTAAAGTTGGTATTTTATTTGATTTTAATTAAAGTTGGTATTTTATTTGATTTTAATTAAAGTTGGTATTTTATTTGATTTTAATTAAAGTTGGTATTTTATTTGATTTTAATTAAAGTTGGTATTTTATTTGATTTTAATTAAAGTTGGTATTTTATTTGATTTTAACTAAAGTTGGTATTTTATTTGATTTTAATTAAAGTTGGTATTTTATTTGATTTTAATTAAAGTTGGTATTTTATTTGATTTTAACTGTGTTGGTATTTTATTTGATTTTAATTAAAGTTGGTATTTTATTTGATTTTAATTAAAGTTGGTATTTTATTTGATTTTAACTAAAGTTGGTATTTTATTTGATTTTAACTAAAGTTGGTATTTTATTTGATTTTAATTAAAGTTGGTATTTTATTTGATTTTAATTAAAGTTGGTATTTTATTTGATTTTAATTAAAGTTGGTATTTTATTTGATTTTAACTGTGTTGGTATTTTATTTGATTTTAATTAAAGTTGGTATTTTATTTGATTTTAATTAAAGTTGGTATTTTATTTGATTTTAATTAAAGTTGGTATTTTATTTGATTTTAATTAAAGTTGGTATTTTATTTGATTTTAATTAAAGTTGGTATTTTATTTGATTTTAACTAAAGTTGGTATTTTATTTGATTTTAATTAAAGTTGGTATTTTATTTGATTTTAATTAAAGTTGGTATTTTATTTGATTTTAACTGTGTTGGTATTTTATTTGATTTTAATTAAAGTTGGTATTTTATTTGATTTTAATTAAAGTTGGTATTTTATTTGATTTTAACTAAAGTTGGTATTTTATTTGACTTTAATTAAAGTTGGTATTTTATTTGATTTTAACTAAAGTTGGTATTTTATTTGATTTTAATTAAAGTTGGTATTTTATTTGATTTTAATTAAAGTTGGTATTTTATTTGATTTTAACTGTGTTGGTATTTTATTTGATTTTAATTAAAGTTGGTATTTTATTTGATTTTAATTCATTAAATAAAAAAAATAATAAAAATAATAATAATGCTTTGAAAGAACTATAAGGAAAAGAAATTTAAGACTGACTGTCTAAAAATTCTTTCCTTATAGTTTTTTCAAAGCATTATTATTACTAGATTTTTTTAGACTAATTATTGCCTTATTTTATTCAAATAAAAGAATTTATTTAAGTAAAAAGTATACAATTTACTTGCAGCTTTTTGATATGTTGCATAAATGTTTTTCTTTGTAGAGGGTTTTCTTTTTGCCAGTATCCTTTCTTATTGAGCTTAAGTTTGAAGCGATATATCATGCAGAAAGACAGTGAATCGAAAATGCTTCTAGAAGCTCGGGTAAATTCATTTTTTTAATTAATTTAAACAAAATCTTTAAAGTGAAAAGTCATTTGTTTCATACATACAGTTTTCATTTGTTTTATACATGCAGTTTTCATTTGTTTCATACATACAGTTTTACTTCATACATACATTTTTTTCTTTGTTTTTATTACTTATCCTTCCTTATATAAATAAGTTTTTTCAATAGAAACATTTCATATTTCTTTGTGGGATTTCATTGCTCAGCCTAGTTCAAACACCGCAGATTAACTGCATCAAATATAACAAAATTAATAATTTTATTTCTGTTGGATAAAGTTTTGGCTTGTGAGCAATGACTATCTTATTATACGCTAACATTTTTTCATGGTACATACGTATGCACAACATCAAATCAGCCTTTGTTTGATCTTATTTTTTATAATTTCTGCATATATGAATATTTATTCTGCATATATGAATATCTATTTTATTTGCATACATTTACATATTATCTGCATACATATTATCATTGATACTATTTTTGTGTTAGAGGATCCTCTTCCTTGTTTTTAATAGATATAAATATATTGTCATATGTTTGTCATTTTTTATACATATGTGTCATATGGTAGGTTACCATTTTTTATACATATATACAACTATATATATACATATATATATATATATATATATATATATATATATATATATATATATATATATATATATATATATATATATATTTATATATATATATATATACATATATATATACATATATATATATGTATATGTTATGTATATGTATATATATGTATATATATATATATGTATATATATATATATATATATATATATACATATATATATATATATATATATATATATATATATATATATATATATATATATATATATATATATATATATATATATATATATATATATATATATATATATACATACAATATTTTGATGGAGGTTTGATGGAACTTTTGAGTTAATTAACTTAATTATATACTTAAATTGACATACCTTATTTTATTTTGTTATATAGAACTTTATTTTTTAAATTTTTTCTTTTATTGGTTTGAAAAAAATCATAATGCTTATTTTAGTTAGAGCAAACTTTGGACTTTCCTTTTGATATACACCCTGAGTAGAATTTTTACTAAGTTTAATTGTTTAACTATTACCAGGAGGTAAAATTAGTCAGTAACAACAAGTATATATCAAAATATATCAATGGACATCCCTAGTTTTATTACACTAGATTGTGTATCATTTTAATAACTTGCATTTTAAGTAATAAATAAGGAGAGAAAAGGTTTCAAATAAAAAAAATAAAATTCGGATTTCCCTTTTGACACCCTGCCTAATTTGAATTTTATTAAATTAATTTATTTTATTAAATATATAACATGGCCGATGATCAGTTCAAAATGTCGCTTAATTCATAAGTTTATATAGCATTATAAAGAAAAAGTAAGTATGTTAAAGAAAAGCATCATTTCCTTGAAAGTTAGGCCACCAAGTATTATATTAACTGTGTAGAATTTTTGATATCATGATATCCTTTGGATACAAGAAAGGAAGACAGAGGGTTATTACAAGTAGAAGCTGTTTATAGTTGCATCGATAAAAACTAGTATTTGTTCCTTAGTTTTCTTTGATAATCAAGAAGAAGATTTTAGACTTATTAAGTATAAATTTTAATTAGCCATATTGTTTATCCTTTATGAGAATTATGATAATCGTAATAGAAACTATGATGAATCACATAAAAGAAAAACTTGTTTAGCATTTTAATAAAAGCTATTACTGATTTTTCTTTGGATGTTATGAAATGTGAAATTGTGGCATGGATACTTTACAAAAGTTTTTTATACCTGTGGTTTTCTGTCTCGAAGAATGTCATTAATGGTGCAGCCTCTGCTACTGCTTCTTCTAATGAAGTTAATAACAAATTTTGATTTTATTGTTGCACTGTGTATAACAAGACATGTTTTTATTATAACTTTTTCAATTACACAATTGTGCAAGCAAATAATAATGATATTTTTATAGTTTAAATCTTATTCAAGCATTAAAATATTTTGTCTCTTTAGTTAGAAATATTATTAATCAACACTTCCAAATATGCTTTAAACAAGCCTAAAAATTGCATTTCAAATTATTTTAACTTGGTTATCTCTGTTATTTTACTAGACTAACTGATTACTGAGTTCAACACAATGTTTGATTGATACAATTTTAATGTGTTATAAAGCACCTGTGTTTTAATTTCTTCTTTCTAATATTCAGTTTCTTCTAAAAACAATTGCATAAATTCAATGTTTTGCTATACTAGTTTTATATATGTTTTAGTGTCTTTTAAATATGTTTTAGTGTCTTTTGTTTAAGCAAAGGCTTTAATAGGTTTATTTATTATTTCTAAACCAAAAGCTTTATTACTTGAATTTGACCTGTGGAAGTTTAGTTGAATTTCACTTAACTGTTTGAATTTCAAAAATGAACTTTAATCTAATAATACTGAAACATTACAAGCAACAAACCTTTTCTTTACTGAGGAGCCTTAAAGGAATAGTAAATAGATGTTGCAAAGCAAAATGGTAGATAAAGTCTAAATGGTTTAGTTTAGCTTTTAGTCTATAGATAATAAACAAGTTTTTAACAAGTTTTTTATAAATACTTATGAGTTGTGTTTTAAATAAAATTGATAAAAGTATAACTTCAAAAAATGTCTAAGTTGCTTTTTGTTAAACAGCTATTTTCATAGCCAGACATTTTGTAAAAACATAAATAAATTTTTTAGTTTTCAAAAATTATTTTTTGAGCTTTAGTGATCATTTTATCAATTAGTGACCAATTTTATCGAAAAAGTCATTTAAATAATTATTGAAACATTTTTATATAATACACTCAATACACTATAATACTCATAATACTGGTCAAAATCCGTTCCCCCCCCCTCCCTA